GCACCTGAAACAAAAACAAGTTTCTACATTATCCGAAAGACCCCTGATCCCATGAAGTTTGGGTAATTGCATTTCCACTGTATCGAAAAAAAAGTCCAATCATAGATAGAATTAGAATTGTATTTCTTAGGAAGTTTTCTAAAATTTATTATGTTTGGAGATATATTTGATCAATAGGGAATATGGCTGCCTTATTGCTATTTCAATTCAGTAAATTCAGGACTGCTGCTGATTATTTATGCATCTGTAAATATTTGTTAGCAAAAATAAATTTATATTAGTTTATAAAGAAACATTATCCTTCTGTTAAAAAATATAAATGCAGTTTATTGTGTATGTTTGAATAAATGGATTGCAAATTTGAATAAATTTACCAACAACTTTAATTACATTTTAAATTTATTTATTTTTTTTGTTAAATTAAAAAAATAAACAAAGATTGGCCTAAAATAATTGAAAGTATATTTATTAAAACCATGTAAATAATTTAAATGTCATTAGACAGTAATTTTTTAAATGCAAAGGTTACAATGAATCTTTACTTTTCAAATGTTTTCTGGAATGAAATTACATCATTATGGTTATAAAAGGGTTCTTTTACAACCATAATGATGCAATATGGATTCAAATCTTGTTGGGCTGCAATTAAAAAAAAATTGTAACTTATAAATTCCCACTGTTGTCCGTCCGTCTGCCTTTCCTTAATCTCAAGAACAGCATTACATAGATGAAAGATGAGACCAGATATGGAAAATTATTATGTAGTTAATCGGGAAGGTAATTCTGATTAAGTATATAATAACTTTCAATCTAAACCAGAAGTTATATTATTTCAATTTGTAAGTTTTCTCCCAAAAGGTGTTAGATAGATTACTGGCGTGACTTTATTGTTAAAGGAAAAGTATGATGTACAGGGGCAAGCCACTACTAATTTGAGACAGAGAGTATATATTTTAAATTAAATAAATTATAAAAATGATTAAAAATTGCAGCCTGCATTGTGACGATGTCACAATAAATAATTTTTCTTTTTTGTTATTATTAGGAGAAGATAGATAGACAGACAGATCTCTGCATAATTTATATTTGTTTTCTTGTATCCTTTTCTGGAGAGACCAGAGAGAGTAATCAATACACGACAAATTCTTAAATGAGGAGATGTTGATTAAGATCCTATCTATTATAGACTAAGTATGGTATTTGTGATAAATAGATTCATTCTCCAGTCCATCTAGAAAAGAATACAATACTCTATCTAGATTTGTCAGTGCAAATAATACACAGAGCTGGGATAAGGCTAACTACTTTAAATCCTGTTATGCACTTTGGCCTTTATAATGACCCTTTCAGCTGGTCTGCAATATTTTTCCTCAAGAATTCAGCAGATATGTTGATACTTACTCTTCCATTCATCTTTGACATTAAGTTGCTTTATCAACGATCAACATTCACAACAGTAATGATGATCAATTATATGAACATATATGTGGACGAAGAGCATAAGAACGAACTGTATGCATACAATGTTTAAGTTATTTACATGTATCTGATTTTAAGTTATTTTTTTATGTTTTTGGTTTCTCATTTTTGAATGTTGTTCATTTCATCATTTTATGTGTTCAATTTTCTATTGTCTGAACAGGTGGTTTGAAGTGACTAAAAGCATTCCTATTAAACAAATGACTTATTTCCTTATGCTATAAGGTTTTCATGGTGTTTATTTTGCTATATTAAAAATGCTTTCTTGAAAATTATAAAACACATGATTAAATTATGTAATAAATTTGAATGGAATAAATTCTCTGAAATTTTTAATGGATGAATTTTGAATATATCATTATTTTTATATTGTATAAACAATTTTTTTATTGCTGTGCTCACTATTTTTCATCTAATTATTGTTTTAATTATTTTAAATAATTTCCTGAAGCTTTAAGAGAATTTGGTTGTTGTAACTTTTATATAAAAAAAATATATTCTGAAACAAGTTTATCAATATTTAAATTTTGTTAAGTTAACACAGCTTGGAATATTGCACTGTTGGTTCATGAGTAAGCATGCTTATTAATTAGTGATAATAAATGATGATAAAGTTTATTTCTATTATTGCTTATTGTAAAATAGAATTTACTTTTTTGTAAATTTGGTTTTTAGCTGCTACTTTCATTTTTTTATTTTTGTTTCTTGTTTCAGATTTTATAAGTTTGACAAGAAACAAAAATATTTGCAATGTATAAAGTAAAGATATAAAAATTACTTTAAAATTTACAGACAGACAATCTTTTAAAAAAAATATATTATTAAAATAGAAACACTTGAAACTAAAATTTGATGGGCTGCCAAATGCATGCAAGCAAGATGTGTATTGCACATGGCTACCATCATCAAGGGAGTGCCAAAAGACATTTATAATTAATTGCCTGATTTCTATTATGAAATGACAAAAAATGGAACAAAACAAAATGTCTAAAAAGTAAAATTGCAAGCTTCAATAGCCCAATTGTTAACACTTCCATTATATATTAGGTATGATCAAACAGTCCTGAGACTGGGCATATAAAAAGAAAAGAAGCATACTTTATATAACTTTGACAGTCATCACCTTTAAAATACGCTTCTGAATCAATACATTGATTCCAGCATTTCTGCCAAGCTTGGAAGCGAATGCAGAGGTTGGGGAGCAATAATGGTCTTGGTGCATGTTAAAAATGTGTTTTCAGTGCCATGTGAGAAGGAGCATTGTTGTGATGGAGCACCCAATTGTCATTGTGCCACAATTAAGGTTTATTGTGGCAAATGTCCTCTCTTGGGTGCCTTAGAACATTGCAGTAGAAATCATCATTCACTGTCTGGTCCTTGGAGACAAATTCTTGATGCACATTTTTCCAAATGATGAACATGCTTTTGGTTGCACTTCAGACCTGCCTTGCCTTCTTTGGTCTTGGTGATTGTGGACTTCCACTGTGAAGACTGCTGTTTGGTTTCTGGGTCATAGTCAGTAGATCCAGCTCTCATCACCAGTGATGATCCTAGAGATGAAGATTGGGCCATCAAAAGTTTGCTGAGAGAGATTCTTGCAGACCTGGATACAGTGCACCTTCTGCTCGGGGTTCAGGAGTCTGGATATGAACTTTGTTGCAACATACAGTAGTTACAGTGACCATATTTTTTTGGGGAAAATAAAGGACATATCGAAAAAAATCAAAAAATACCTTATAAAATTCATAACTTTATAACATTTATTACGAAAATAGTAGCATACAATAATGCATACATTAAAATTTTAAACAATCTGAATTATTACACATACACACATTGTAAAAAATTTAAATAACATTAATTTTGATACTTTTCAGTAGAATTAATTTTTTTTATAGTGCCGTTTCACACTTTAAAGTCATAAAATTCCATACAGTTCATTTGAAAGTTGTATTTGATGGAAATACATGCTTCTAATTTGGTTACTTTTAAATCAGTTTTTTCATTCGTCCACCTATTATTCACCAATGAAAATATTCGTTCAACAGGGGCATTAGATCCAGGGAGACAAGAAAATTCTACGATTTTACAAATGATTATGAAAACAATTTCTTTTGCTGTAAAATGTTCAAAAATCTCAATCCACCTTTGATGGCAGGGCTGGTTATTCTGTCACCATTTTTCAATCTTTTCGTTTGTGACATATTTTTTTACACATGAAACTTCATCAAATAATTCACCGTCGAGTATATTTACGGACCAATGATTCGAAATAAAGATATAGCTTTTCTCTACTTTCGCCCACAAAGGGATTTCGCATAATGTGATCCATTCAAACACCTCTATTTCAATAAAAAACATGTCCCAATTATTTAGATAATCTATGCACGTTTGATAAAATGTGTACACAGCATCATTGCATTTTTTGGCTTGTATATTTTCTGATTTTTCTAATGCTAAAACCACTTTTCTAATAACAATAGGAAGAAACCCCTGGTACTGTCAGTGGGCCGTTTGGTTGGCGACACACTGCACTACTGTGCTCTATGTAGCAATGCAACACTGGTCGTGATGGCGTATACAAAACTAACTTGTTCAATATATTATTAAAAAAAATGTTTTTAAACTTTGCATCAACTTTACAAAATAAAGGACAAAATGCTTATTTTAGAAAATAAATAAAGTTAAAGGACAGAGCAGTGAAATAAAGGACTGTCCTATTAAATAAAGGACGTATGGTCACTGTAAACATAGTGCATGCAGTGGCAGATCTTCATAGGGACTAATAGGGCTTAAACCCTCGGTCCAAGTGTCAAGGGCACACAAAAATTGAATTATCATAAATTTTTTATACTTTTTCATTAACAATGAGCACTTATCGTCTAGTAAAAAATATTTAATAATATAATAATGATGATAATTTATGATATTATGTTTATTAACAAAAAATGGGACCCCATTGGACTTCAATAAGCCTTAGGCCCCGAAAAACCTAGATCTGCCCGAGTGCATGTTTAATTTAGATGTTAAGATTGTCTTGGTGACAATGTCCTTGATAACCATCAAGACAATCTTCATGAACAATATGTGAAATGTTCTCAACAGTTTTGGGGATTGTGCTTGTGGAGGGTTGACCTGACCTTTCATCATTCTCCCTCTTTTGATGTGCATGTGACACTGGAAACACTTTATCCTACTTATTGCTTCATCACTATAGACTTCCCAAAGCACTTCAAAAATCTCTGTTGCCAACTTCTCCAATTTCATACAGAATTTGATGTTAGCTTTTTGCTCCAATTTTAGATTCATGATAAGATAGCAAAGGCACACTCAGACATCGTGGAAAAATGTGTGTAATGCAAACAGCAATCAATGCAGCATATTGATCAGAGATTGCATGCTGATTCATAAATACCATGTACCTCTCTACTGCATGCTAATGACTGTGCAGTGTCCTCTTGTATTACTTCAGGCTCAGTCTCAGAACTTTTTGATTGCATCACTTATTTACATGGATTTACATGGGTGTTGTAGTCAAACATGTGGAAACTGGGCCTGTTGGTAAGTTTTTCAACTGGTGAGGAATAAACTTGCATGGACTAGTAAGTTATATAGCAATATTGCTGGATGTTCATGCCATCCAAACTCAATTCAACAGAATTTTGATGGTGATAAAAATTAGGAATTCATTGTACATTTGCACCAATTCATAAGTAGTGCAAAAAAGTAGGACTTGTACATGGGTGCAACAGTGGTGTCACTGTAGATTGTTCTGTTATTCTTAAAAATATCTATGTGCTTGAAAAGTTCTATATACAGTATCCAGAGATGTCCTCTTTCTATCTGCAACAAGAACGTCAATCCACTATGCAAATTAAACTATTACATTTTAATGAATGGGCAATCCTGCATATGTCAGACCCTGTCTTTCATTATCTCATTGTCACCTTATCGACCTGGCTGAATTTATTATGGGTCTGTTATAAAAGTCTTCTTGATGACCACATGATAGGAAAGAATTTTCAAAAAAGAAAAGAATGTGCTTAATGTTTATCAAGATTTAAAACAGTATTCAAAAACATATCTATATTTTTAAATAATATTATTCTATATTTTGGAAAGGTATTTTAATATATTCAATATTTTCAGGTGTGTTTACATTATTATTAGAAGATTTTGGTGTAAGAGGTGTCCAAGTAGAAGAGATATATGACCTTCAAAAACCTATTGAAGGGTAATTAGAGTTTTTTTTTTTTGTATTTAAAAACTATTTTACTGTTTGTTTAGTTTTGTATGTTTGTATATTTTAATTACTGTAGTTTTTGTATAATTAACAGAAAAATATAAATATTAAATATGAAAATCTAAAAAAGTTTTTAAAAGAATGGAAAAACAGTGTCAATACAAGAAATTTTTATTGTGTTAATATTCTTTTGTTAAACAGTCTTTTTAATAATGGACTATTTAAATCTGTTAGAAATATAAAAACAATCAAACAGTATATAATTCATGAAGAAATTTAAGCATTTATTAATATGAATACTTTCAACTTTATTATTTTGACTACATTAAATATAAATTCTAAAAAACAAATTTAAATCAAATATAAACTTTAAATATAAGATAATTAGCCAACTTTATTTAATGATTACATCAATACCTCAACTTATGCTACCCTGACTTGCACAAACCCAGAGTTATGCGATTTTCAAATCTCGTCGATTTGTCTTTTGTTTGAGCACCACACAACTCTTGATTATTCACTCCCCCCCACACTATTGTTCAGCTTACATGTTCGGATGTGTCGCACGGAATCGACACATAGCTACAATTTATTTTGTGTTATTTATTTCTGTTTGTTATATCTACGGAGACTTGAGAGACTCTATGTGGTGATTTCTTGTAACTGTGAATGAATCAAAAGACAAGATAATTTAACAAGAACATTTATTAGCTTACATACATCCGACTTGGATTTTACACAAATTGCGAAATTATACCCCGACTTGCACGGTTATTGCTCGGTCCCACCTATCATGTAAGTTTGGGGTATTACTGTATATATATAAGAGGAAATCAAAAACTTTTTGACAACTTTGTTTTTCTTGACATTTGCTGTTTCAAAATTTTAAAATATAAATTTGAAAGCTCTGTTTTTCCACATGCTCTCACGATGGGCCAAACATTTCTCCCATTGTGGCATAAGTTTTTGGATACCACTCTCATAGAATGTATCAGGTTGCTTATGCAGCCACTATGAAACTGCTGTCACATCATCTGTTATCTCATTCTTGAATCTGTTAACTCATTCTTGTAGAGGCCTGGAAGGTGATAGTCACAGTGTGCCAGATAAATGATCATGTTTTCATCTCCAAGATGCCAGTAGCTGTTACACTATGGTCATCTTGTTCAGACGTTTGTTGTCATGCAACATGACAGTATTTTCCATTTCAGATATTCATCTTTTCTTTTCAATGGCTCTTCTTAGACATCTCAACATCACACAGTAACTATCAGTATTTTTGTGACATCCTTTGGGTAAGAAGTCAATGAGAAGAATGCCTTGATTCCAAAAGGCATGTCAGCATGATCTTGTTTGTAGAATGGCCCAATTTCTTTGTTTTCCAAACTATGCTCTGAGGTATAGTGATGCATTCAGGACTTATAACCTTTATTATGTGTTTTAAGAAAGTTCTCTTTTGTTGGAAGCATATCAACTGATCAGGACAAATTTCCATATGCATACCTTGAGTACTAAACTATATGACTATTTCTCTTGATCTTTCTATGTGATACTTCTTTTGATGAGTAGAGAATGATAACATTCAAGTCAAAGACTGCCTCACAGAAAGCACCATGTTTCTTTCCATTGCCTGGTTTAAGAGATCAGGATCTTCGTCAACCGTGTCAATCAGTTTTCTCCAGATAAAGGAAAGAGCTGCCCATTGTTTGTCAGCATCTCTGGGACAATGTGCTGGCAAACATGATACATTTTGAAATCATTGTGAAGGATTTTGTTGGTCAAATCATGAGAAATGTGCATTCTTTTGCCAGGTCATCAATTGTTTATTGATGTTTGTATCTAATTTCTTATTAGTTGTTTGTTTCATACTGTGGAAGATCTGCCTGGATGTGGGTCATCTTCCACAGATTCCCTTTAAACTTTTTGTACCAGTCATAAATTTAGATTTGCACAGATTCTGTGAAATATGACTCTCGCTGTTTAAAGATGAGTTTGTGAGTAAATGCATACATGTATTCTGTGAAATGTGACTGTAAAGGTTTGAAGCTTGTTAGAATTTCCTGTCATAAACATCAGTGGTAAATAAACATCTAATAGGCAAATTATTTTTCCTTTTGAATTAACGTGTATTTATCATATTCATGTCCACCATAAACTCTGTTCTTTTCTTCCTCTTGGAGTCATTGTGCCACAGCACACCTAGCATCTTCTTGCAGCACACCAGTTGTGGAGTTCTGATTTAAATATTTAATTACTTGCAATTTAACATTGTCTAATTATTTTTAGTGATGTTTATTATTACTGATATGTTCTGTTATTTGAAATTACAATTTTTTTTATTAAATATTGTAATATTATTTACAGCTATTTAATCAATATAAATGTTTGAATTTTATGTGGATAATGTTATGAAGCAACACAAAATACTGGGGTTAGACTGCTGAAGGCAGTCAGAGCTAAACTCCTAATATATATGACTAATGTTTGTATTATTTATATTGATATGTAATTTTAATTTGAAGAATATACTTGTAAAGACTATATTGAAATGCAGTTATTGTAACTGTGAAATTTATTTAACTTAATTATGAATGTTATCTTTTTGTTGAAAGATAATAGAATATAAAAATACTTTGATATACAATGCTAAGTACTGAAAAAAACATTTGTAATTTTATTCTATTCATATTGCAGACCAGTCTATGGCTTTATATTTCTATTTAAGTGGATAGAAGAAAGGCGATGTCGAAGAAAAGTAGTCGTAGAAGAAAGTTTTGTAGAAGATGAAGAAATTGTAAATTCAATTTTTTTTGCCCAGCAGGTAAAACAATATTAAAATATTAATTAAAGAATATAAAGGATTAGTCAAATACAAAATTGGAAAAATGTTAGTTTTCAGTTTTGTATATGTATGTAAAGCACAAATACATAAAGAAGCGAAAAAAGAAAGTAAATTATACACATAATTAAAAAAATGCATTTTAGAAAATTTTCATGTGACCCTGATTTGAATACTTACAAGGGAACCTTATGGTATGTGCTGCCATAGTGTAAAATTGACCAGTATATGAGCTGCGCTTAAAATTTTAGAGCCCTTTTTCTCAGAATCTTCTGGCTAGTGTGCTTTACAATTCTTCTCGGTGGACACTCTTGAGGTATACTACTAACCTGCAAAGTCTCATCCCGAACTGAATTTCCGAGACCATAAGGTCTTTTTTTTAGTGTATAAGAATTTGATATAATGAGCGCTGATCAATATTTACAAGAACAAAATATTCTAATCACAGATGGAACAAGATTGAAATTCCTGTGGGCTCTGTAAGATGGATTCTAAGTTTCAGTCTCCATTTTCTTTGTTTCATTTACATTATGTCTTTGTTTACTAGGGTCAGTGTTATTCATTCCAACATTAAACCAGAGAAAAAATTTCATTTGATTTTTAATTGCTTAAAAACCAGTTTTATTTTACTTGCATTTTGTCTCAAATAATTGTTTTCTTACTTATAAAGAAGTATTTGCTTACTTCATATTCACTTTTCTCATTTTGTATTTGTTATTTTTATATCAATGAATAACCCTAATCAACAATTTCATTTTATTTATTTTCTTTCATTTAGAATCAGATAAATAGGTGTTTTGTAGCACTTTAATTTTATTTGGGGACATGGTGATAGTAATTGAATTATATCATCATATCAATGTTCCTCAAAACAAAATACTAATTTCAACCATAAGATATAATAGGAAAGCTTGTCTTTATTTATGAGATTTTGATTTAGGAGCAGTTTTCAGGATGAGGTTTGATCCATATATCAGAGTTACACTGTATGTGCTTTTATTTATCAAATAATTTTTTAGTTTTTTATTTTATTTATTAATTTTTATAAAATTTATATATTTTGCAGATGGTTCCTAATTCGTGTGCAACTCATGCTTTGTTGAGTGTTTTATTGAATTGTTCAAAAATTCATTTAGGACAGACTTTAACTAGGTTAAAAAATCATACTACAAATATGAGTCCTGAGGTAAAATTTATTTTTTCAATTAAATTTCTTTCGTAAGTTTAATTGTGATTTAATAATTTTGTTAATGTAAGTAAAAATAACAACAAACTTGTAAGAGATTATAAGCATGTACATGCTTGCGTAATCATATTATTAGTTTGTTTGATAGAAGTCCTAAAGTTAGTTATAATAAACCAGCGATTTCATTGAATGACAGGTAAGTTTCGTTGATTTACTTACGTGGATAAAGTAAATTGATTTGGATAACGGCTTTCTCACATTTCTATGGTTACCATTTGCTGGAATTATTTAAATAATAATTTTTTATAACACAATTTAAAATGTTTTTAGATGAGAATAAATTTTAGTAATTTTATTTTTAATAAAATTTTATTTTATAATCATATTTTAAATTAAAGAATAAATTTTGAAAACAGAATAAAGGATATGCAATAGGAAATACTCCAGAATTAGCAAGAGCCCATAACAGTCATGCAAAGTATGTATTTTTTATGTTTATACTTTTAAATTTACATTTTTACACACAAGAAAAATTATATAAACATTTTTCACTTTTCTTCTGTATTATTATTTGTATTTTACTGAAAATTATTGTAAACGATTGCTGAATTTCCCATTCCCATTTAAAAGTTCATTTCAACTTTAAGAGAATTGTCATTAAATTTCCACTTATAATTGTCACTGGTGAAATCTATTGCAGATAATGCCAGATTATCATGTTTCTCTGTATTTTAGATCATATTTCGTTTACATTCCTTTTTATGTTGGTTTTAAAAGCAATAACTAGAGGCTTAATTACTTAAACTTTTTCACAAAATTTTCTCTTACATTATTCTGTTGTTCCTGTGCAATATGTATATAGATATTGTTATATTATTTTATTTAGTATTTTCATTATCTGCAGAAAAAAATTTTGAATNTATATTCTCAAGTAAACAATACATACAAGTACAGTACAGTATTTTCTGAGGAAACACTCGTACTTATTTTTTTTAACTCCATTCCCGATAACTCGGCCACCCTTCGGTCCACATTAGGCCGAGTTTTCGAGGTTCTACTGTATTAAAATATTTCTAACATTGTATTTTCCAGGAGTATAGTGTGTGTCTACTACTTCTGCTGGTTGTAGCTTGAGTTGTTTATGATTATATGTTTAACTTTGTTATTTTTTTGTTGTTAACAATAAAATAAAATACTGATTATAAAAATTTTACAGTTTTAAATTGCTAAATGGTATGTGTAGATTAAAGAGAGTATTAAATCACACTCTAGAATCTTAGGAGTCCAGTAACAACAACACTTTAATGGATAACTAATGTTTTCAACCGTACCCCAGTCTTCCTTGGGTTTTTAAACAAGTATGATTTGAATGTGGAATGCAAAGAACAATATTTATAAATTATTTTTAAAAATTTTGGGAGTATTGTAATGTCTTTAATGTAATAAAAAAAAATTAAATAATGAGTGAATTTTCGGTGAACAATTTGATAGTGTTATGGCATCATAAAGTGCACACTTTTAGTTTTTTATTGTTCAATATGTTGGTTGTGTATGTTTATGTCTGTGTGTAAATGATCACCCTTACCATTACAAAATTTCACTTCTAAAGAGTGACGGGCAATTTGACAATTGTTTACAGTAAAATATATATTTTGTTAATATCTCTATTTAAGAGATTTTATTCTTAAATAAATTTTTTAAATAATTTCTATCATTTTATTGACAACAATAATCACAATCAAATAATGTTTTTGTAGAATAAGTTTGAATCAAAGTGGGGAGGGAGAAAAGTTTTGTACAATACATTTAATTTTCAAAAAGTTTCAACTCATTTAACTCATTAATTTAATTGTTTTGCTTAATAATTTTCTGTTATTATTTAATCTATTTAATGACATTAATAAAGATATACAGTTACACCATTTGAAATAGGGTTTTTTTTTTGTTTTTTTAGTTTAGAATACTGTTATATTTTTCAAACTGTCATTAGGTTTATTATAGTAAAAATAAATCATTATTCTTAACAAACAATAAAACATATATTTAACATACTTTTCATAGCATATGTAGGATAAAATTTTATCTTAAAATGACTATGAAACAGATTTGTATATGTGATTACAACAAAACTAAATGTACTAGCAATAATAATTATGCATTTAGATCAAATTACATTAAAACTATTTAGAGAAAGAATTGTGATGTTAAAGAATACAAGTATATATCAAGGTTTCTTTGTAAATTTTAACTTTGTTACAGACCAGAACCAAGGCACCTGCATGAAAAATCACACGGTGTTTCTACAGGTCGAACAATGGAAGCTTTTCATTTTGTCAGCTATGTTCCCATAAATGGTCGATTGTTTGAACTAGATGGTTTAAAACCTTATCCAATTGATCACGGTGAGTCATTGTGAGATGTTTGATTAATAATACTGGTTTATATAAAATTGTAAAATACACTTAATACTTAATTTGATATAAAAAAAAACTAGGAAAGGATTTTCATACACAAATTGAAAGAAATAGCAAAAATTTCATCTGTTTATATTTTTTATTTATTCTAAATTTTTCTAATTTTAGAATGAATTTACATATTTCAATTCAAAGAAAATATGGTGTTGGCCAAATTATTATGAATTTCATCAAAAAGTTAGTTATAACTAATCTCTATTTCATATTATATTAAAGTTTTAGCAAAATTTTTGTGTGTTGTTTATAGGTTAGTTTAAATATTTTATATACATTCTTTCCTTTATTATGGCATGAATTCTGTTTACAATCTCCTTTTTTGTTTTCTTTCTTTTATAACATGATGTGAATATAATAATTTGTCTTTCTAACAATAAAGTTACATATATTAATTACTTAATGTTAAAAGTTGGTACAAATATCTACTTTGACAATATTTACGATAAACATTAAACAAGCATGAAGATTAACATTTAAATATTAAATATTCAATAAAATTTTTAGTAAGTTAAAATTTGAAATCACTGTAATTATTAATTTTTACTGTAATAATTTTAACTTGTCATAATATTTCTTATAACAAGAATGTGACTATAATTTTACTAATAATGCTTGTAATGTTAACTTATTTTGATTAATTTTTCCACTATATAAATAATGTAAATATGAACATCATTTTCTAAGTGTTATGATAAAATAAATTTTGACTAAAAAATTATGCATCCAAATAGAATTTGATTACTGAAAAAGTAAGCTTGCAGCTATATTGAGGCAGTTATGTAAATATTTACAGTTTTGGTTTGATAAGTTAGCATGCCAAGTAATGCCACAGAGTGTCATAAAATCTTTACCCCAGTATCCTATAAAAAGGTTCATACATGTTCTACTTTGTGTCAGGATTTTCAGTGTACTCTGTTTGGAGATCTTCAAATACCAGAAATATCTTTATGCGCAGTCAAAAATGTTACACACAGCTGATGGGGTTTGAGAAAGACTGCATCATCACACTGAAAGAAGCAGAATGGCTATTTTGCCAAATTGCCTGCTATTTATGCTGTTCCTACTTGACTGTGAGGTGGTGTTGGGGGCGCACATACACAGTGGGCAAACTCTAGATGCCTTACACAGACAACCAGGAGAGTTAATTGTCTGATTATGAGACAAGTACTAACAACCACAATGGTGTCTTTGTCCATTTTCCACCAACAAGTGAAAGTTTAGCTACAGATACTATCTCTTCCCATATAATTGGCAGGCAACTAGCAAAGGAAAATTTGCATGTGCGGTAATGTGCAGGATAGTTTTTAGTAATGAATTCCAGTTCTGCTTGAGAACAATCAATCACTGTATTAGTGTGGAGGACCACTGGTGACCACTTCAATCCTGTCTTTATTGTTGAATGGTATACTGCTCACTCTGTTGGTGTGCTAGTTTGGGGAGAAATACCATATGATAGTTGGTCAGACATTGATGGCACAGTAATAAATTGAGGGAACCTTGCACCCTTATGTATTGTTATGCAGTTACAAATGGCCATTTTTCAGCAAGATAACGCTTGGCTCTTCATACTGCTAGAGTTTTCTAGGAATGTCACTATTACATTGCCATGCTCCCTTGGCCAGTTTGATCTTCATACTTGTCACTCATTGAGAATTTCCGGGACCAGATGGATACTGTCAATAGCTTTGGCTATCACAAGCCTGAAAGGTTTAGCATGGTAGTTGCAACATTGGTAGGCAAATCTGTTACAGGATAGCATGTATTGTCTGTATACCTGCATGAATGATTGCTATTGCTGCACATATCTAGGAAAGAGCAGTACTAGGTTTTTTTTTAAATTACAGTATTGTTCCACAGGAAATTCTCTCTACTACAGTATTGACACTTATTATCAGTGTCATTACACTTTTAATAATAAAGTTTTATTTGAATCTAATGCTTGGTGCATAACATTTTTTCAGTGAGTGGGGTTCAGAGCAATAACTTGTCCACCTCTGTAGGACTTCCACCCTGTCCACTGAAACCTCTCATCTTTGATTACCATTTGCTTTGGTTTCCATTTCTGGTTGACATTTTTGATCATCTTATATACTTCTCTAGACGTACATTCTTCATGATATTTTTCTATGTTTTTACACTGATCCTCTAGCCATTTCACTTTATCCATCCTAACTGCTTTTTTCATTTCATTGCACTTTACCTTATACTGTTTTTCCAACTCTTCAGAAATGTCTCTTCTAAGTCTAAGAGCCCTTTTCTCTTGGACAAGCTTTAGGGTCTCTTGTTTGATCCATTTCTTGTTGATTTTTTCCTCTTCTGGTAGGGTCTGCTCAATTGCTTCTCCTATTGCCTTTCCTATTTCTTCCGTCTTGTGTTATATATGCTTCCTATTTTCTCATTTTTTAGCTTTGAAATGTCTCTTTTCTTTTGGAAATGTGCATTAACTTTCTTCTTCAGTTTTATGTGTGCAATGACTAAGGTGTGATCAGAAAGTTGGCTCCTTGAAAGGTTCGACACTGTTGAACTGATGTTGACCATCTCCTTTGGATCAAAATCATATCAATCTTCTTTCTTGTTGTTCCATCACTTGATCTCCATGTCCATCTTTTACAGTTGTTTTGCTGGAATTTGGAGTTGCAGATGATTAAATCTTTATCTAGCGCAAATTCAAGCAGTCTTTCCCCTCATTCATTCCTTACTCCATATCCATACTTACCTATTACTCTTTTTCAACCTTCATTATTATTTCCAATCTTACCATTCCAGTTGCCTCCAATGATGATCACATCTCTCTGCAGTGTTTTCTCTATTATGCTTAGATCTTTATAGAAGAGTTCAATCTCATCTTCACTGATATCTGAGGTGGGTGCATATACCTGGATTACTGATATGTTGAATGGTTTTGCTTCAAACCTTGCCATCATCAATCTTGGCACTAACTGGATTGTATCCTAAAAATGCTGCTTGTGCTCTTTTGCTAAGCAGAAATCCAACACCAGCTTCTTGCCTTGTGTCATTTTTTGACCAGATGACTTCACCACCACCATTCAGTTTTCCCGATGCTGTCCAACACATCTCTGCTAAGCGTAATATGTTGCATTGATATCTCTCCATCTCCTTCCAAAGAAGTTCTACTTTTCCAGGTGATCGTAACGTTCTTGACATTCAAAGTTCCTACTGAGAGGACCCATGTTGCTGGATGAAGTTTTCTTTCAGTAGCCAATTTTTCGACCCAATTTTGATTGCTTGGTTGATGTCATGGACCTTGTTTATCCAAGCCAGCATCTTTTATCTTTTGCTTGTATTGACATCAGATTTCATTCATGTTGTTGTTTTGTGGTTAGTGCATTGACACTCATCTAACCAACCCTACTCCTTTTCCCAGGCTTGGGATTGGCATGTTTTTCTAGAGATTGCATGGCGGAGTTATATAATATACTTCGTATTATCATTTTTATGCACTGGTAAATTGATACTTTTTTTACATAAATAAAGTTTTTAGCAGGCAGAAACAATTTGTACAAATGGAAAAATGGTTGTAATGTAATCAAAAATCAACAAAGATATATTTTAGAATTTTACTCCAAAGGAATTATTTAAGTAATTTATATTTATTTTAGTGTTATTTAGTAACCTTTAAGTCAACAATTGAATTTCTTTCAATAAAGTTATCTGATAAAAAATGCTTTCTAAATTTAATAATGAATTTGAAATTAATATAATTCTATGTTTTAATGAAAATGTAGTTCACTTCACGCCAGCGTTTAGCAATTAAAAATATGACACTTCCGTGTCGCAACACGGAAGTGTCATATTTTTAATTCTATGTTTTAAATAGTTTTTATGTTTGGAAGTTAAGTAAGCTTTTGTAATTACATTAATTATTATTTTGAAATTGAAAAGTGTCTCTGAAAATGTATATGTAGCCTTTTAATAGCTATGGAACTCTCATATTCGAGTTTTATTTTTGTAGAATCCTAGGCAATAATGTCTTAAAGATAAAGCTTACAAAGGTGTTTGTTTACCTCTGTAGAAGCCTTAAGGAATGTATTATGGTATTCTGCAGTTCTTCAGAACACAATTTGAATACAACTCTTATTGGAGTATATAGAGTAAATTTTGCATTTTATCTTCAGATTGCATAAGATTTAATATTATAAAATCAGGTTTGGTAGTTATTGCATATCAAAATATCTTTTATGCAATATTACCAAACCTGATTTTCACAAATTCAATATTGTATGGATTTGTTTACACAAGGTATCAGTTCATTATGTCTATGTAATGTAGCTAAATACAATTTTGCCCATTATGGGCATGCCTGGTTTTTGAATTGGTTCTTATCGAATTTATCTAAAAATAATGT